AGAAAAACTTGTGATATCTTTGGAAAAAAAGATCATTTGGGATAGGTATTCTCATATAGATATAGGTTTTTTTTTTTGAAGTTGTTAGTGAGCGGTGTGAGCAGGATTTGAACAGCAATGTGGTAAACGGCAAATGAGGAAGATGGCTTTTGACGGAGACAGTAGGCGGATTTCCACGGGGGCACGCATGGTTCAGACGAAACCGGGCACTGACATCAAGGATCGATAGTTGATGGCGTCAGAGATCGTGAGGACAGTGCAGACAGTTAATCGGCCAATCAGCACTTGCCTCATTCTTCTTTGTCTACTTGGATTCATTTAATGGCCGCCGATTTGGCACACAACCCCGTCCATCCTAATTCTTGTTGGGTTCATGTGGAACATGAATTTAGTGGGAGTGTGGTCCATTGTAGACCATACTAAGCAAACGATGATTTGTTGATACCGATCTGTGCTTAACGATCTAGACCAATCGGTTGGAAAAAACTAATTTTATCTGGGCATGAAGAACAAACCGATGAGGGTTTATGGGTTAGCCCCTGATGAGGTCGGAGAACATGCCCGGATGAGTGAACCGAGGGACTGTGTGACCCTTGTGCGTGATGGTAGCCAACAGAGACAGGGGCCAAAACTTCATCCATGTACTATTACACGGCATGCATATCGATAGATCATTCAGGAAAGCTAGAAATCTACCTTTTAGGGTGAAGCGTATGTATATGCGATAGATACTCATATGCACCATAGGAGCTATGGTCGCATCCTATGCATCATAGGAACTATGGTCGCATCAGGTCTCGGTGACCTTGACTCATCTCTAGGGGAGGACCGGAAATCCACATACTGGGATTGCGAAATCTTGGCTCATCGGCTGGACTTTGGTGATCTGCTAATGAGCCCATGCTTGGACTGTGGATCATGAGAAACACTGGGTCGGTTTGATAAAACAAGTGTGGTCAGCAGTCCATAGTTAAAGGTGGAGTGCCCAAGGATTATTGATTCCTAAACCATATGGATCTTTTTCCCATCAAATTAATTTAATTGTATTTATTTTATGATGAAAATTATTTGAAGATTATTATTTGAATTTTTATGAACCCCTGTATATTTTATTTATAATTTTTTTATTTATAAAATTAGAGATATTGATTTTACAATTGTTAAAATATTCAAATAATATTATAAAATCTTTTTATTAATTTTAAATATATAAAAATATTGTGGGGGCCCATTGTGAACATGGGCCCACTTTATTTTTAGAAAGTGGGACCCATGAGTGCCTCCCTTGGGTGGCACGCCCCACCCTTATTATCTTTCCTATTTTTTGATGATATGACATGTGGCTATATGGATGGAAGATATTGACTAAATATTGACATGATATATCTTTGAAAGATTTTGTGGTAAGACTGAGTATACTTGTGCTATTTTATGGTATACATAATTTTTTTATTAGATTTAATTTCTTTAATTTCTATTGATGGGAAAATGGTTTAAAAAATGGGGATAATGGTTCATGTACCTTCCATAATGTTGATGACCCATCTATGGAATGGATGGCTCAGATCTCTCACCCCACAAGTCACCCTTGATCGACGGTCTATGTTCAATCTCACAATAAAAGAAAAGCCAAAGAAAACTCTAAAAAAACCTAATCTTATTCAAAACCTATAAAAAGGGATTGGCTCTACCTAAAAAAAAAAAGTCTCTACATTTTATCTTTCTATCTATCTTTCTTAAGAAAATTTATCTCTCATGTTTGATCTCTCTCTCTGTCATTGTAAAAAAACCTAAGGGTTTAGGTTATAGAGTTCGTATCTCCTATATCTCAAATATGGATTTATGGCTAAAAGTTTTAGGGTTTAGCAAAAAGATAATCCATCTCTCTCAAACGAGGTTGCTAAGAGAATTTACCTAGGGTTTGAGTATGTGATCAAATGGATTCATGTTCAATTGGGGTGGCTTGGCCAAAATTTGCTTTCCTGATTCGAAATTGAAGCTAGACTGTTGATCCCCTGTC